CTGATGAGCATTGGTCTGCTGTGAAATGCATCCTGCGTTATCTCAAGTGCACGCTTGATCATAGTCTTCATTTTGCTTCCTCCTCTACCTCTCTTCTGTTGAATGCCTTCACGGATGCTGATTGGGCCAGCTGTTCGGATGATTGCCGGTCTACAAGAGGATTTGTTGTTTATTTGGGTCATCACCTCATCAGTTGGAGCTTAAAAAAACAACATACTGTGGCTCGTTCCACTACAGAATCAGAATTTCGATCTCTTGCCAATACTGTCACTGAAGTTCTATGGATTCAGTCTCTCTTGACCGATCTTGGTTTTCCTGTTTTGAAGCCCATAGTGTGGTGTGACAATCTTGGTGCTACTTATATTGCGGCACATCCAATCTTTCACGCACGAACCAAGCATGTGGAAGTAGACTTTCACTTCCTACGGGATCTCTGCGTGGCTAACAAACTATCCATCCGTTACATTTGTTTTGAAGACCAGGTAGTTGATGTTTTCACCAAACCTCTAGCCACACAACGGTTCAATCTTCTGGGGTCCAAGCTTCATATTCGGCCATTCAGCTTGAGGGGGCATATTGGAGATAAACCTAACCGGCCAGATCTAATCTGGACTCTGGTAGGCTTAACCAATCTAGATCTAATCTGGACTCTAATAAGGACTCTGAGATAGATAAGGATGAGACTAGATCAACATGATCTCTCATGTACTCTATCTAATCTTCTGTTGTTAATTGCTATCTTGTATGTTTCCATGTGTAATTCAAACTCTCCAATGGAGTCTATAAATACCACTAGCTTTAGTGATCCAATACATTGAAGTCAATTCCCCTCATACGAGTTCTCTCTTCTTTTCAAGTATTTTCTTAATTCAAATTGTTCTTAATATTTTCCTAGAGATTTGTTGGGTTGCCTTTTTTAGAACGGAAACCTATATCATCTAACGGCCGTTGTTTGTAGGAAAGCCATGATTTGGCCATTTTGGTTTCGATATTTGCCATGGGGAGTCCTTACTATTGAAAATACAAAGTCGTCGCCCTTTGCGTCACAGATGGTTAGGTGTTCGTCGGTCAAGCAGTGTAGTAGTTGGACAGTGAGGCAAGTCCCTTTGTTGTTAAAGAAATCCGGGTTTAAAAAAGGACATGTATTGTTTATTTGAATATTATTGGGTTATTTTAGACTTTTGGACACATCTGAACCCTGTTTAAACACGTTCAATGATGGCCCATGATCTAAACATTTCAGATCTAAAATGCAATTTCAGATCAACTTTCAAGACATACCCAAACACTTATTAAAAGCGTTATCAAAAGCTACCTAAATCTACCCTTACTATTTACATATTGTCTTAAGGTACCTTCAATTTTTCTGACAATTGACTAAATCCCCCATTACTGTTAGCATCCATTATTGTTCCATCACAATTGGTTCACATGTAAAACCAAGTGAGGTATAATTTTTTTAAACCCAATCTTACCCTTTTATGGTCAATTTTACCCTCTGTTGTTCTTCAAATTTTCAAAATAAAACTCAAATATCCATTTCTTTTGTAAACAGTGGAGGCCAACCAAAATAAAGTAGGAAAGAAAAAGGATTCCTTCTCCTCTCGTTTCGATTATCTGGTGATAAAGCTTGGTTGGATTTGAAATCTGGGAATTTATTTTTGGATAACTAAATTTAAATTAGAGAAATTGTTCTATATTGAGGAGGTAGTGATTTGGTCATTGTTTTAGCAATACAAGGGTTTGTATACAGGGACTTTATACCTGAATAAGAAGACCAACATTAGCAGGAGACTGCAATGGGTCGTTGAAAATTCACCTTACAATCTTCAAACCCGAAGGGATTTTATGCAGGGTTCTCTTGCCCTATGTGAAAATTCAGAAATCCCGTAGGTTTTCACTCTAGAATTGACCCGTCCTGCTTCATTTCACGGGGTTTAATATTTTCTATTCATAGGGATTAGCATCGGTTTCTACAAAAATTCTGAGAATTTTTTCATTAAAGAATACAGAGTTATCTCAGTGAGCCATTCGATTAATATTTTTTTGGCATAACATCTTTAGTCGGTGTTTTGGCAGACTATTTATTTCACAAACTAAAATACCAAATCAAAGACCAACCAGATTTGATCTCGGACATTGACATTCAGGAGAGGAAACTGTAACAATTTACTTCAAAATAAACACGATCTTTTATTTAAATCTTTCATTTTGAAAATTTAAATAAGAACGATGGGTTAAATGGTCTTGTGCATCTTTCCGTTAAACATTAGAGGTAAAGTTACTCAATTTCCTAAGCCATAGGGGTATTTTAAAAAATTTGCACAATATAATTTATTGTTATTTTCTCTCCATTTATCTAATTTTATAAATTATTAAGATAGATTCTAATGTATGCTGATTTTTTAATCCTTTTTAACAATATTTTAATGTATTTTTTAGTAATATTTTTAATAACATATTTTTACTTTTTGAATAAATTTTTATTTGTATATATTTAAATCTAGATTTTCTAAACATTATTTTAATGTATAATTGATTTTCAAATAGTAATATTTGTAATAAAATATATTATATTATGTTGAATTAATTATGTATATATTGCCTCAATATACCGCTCTTCTATCACCAATCCAGAAAAATGTTAAAATAACTGATGCACCAGTTTTTTCAAATACCCATTCTACCCTTTTATAAATTATTTTACATATAATTTTACTAAAATAACCTTGTTTGAAACTTGAGAAAAACCTCCTTTGATCTCTTTATCCTCTTTCATCTTTCTTCATTCTTGGACCATGGCGAGATTAGTGCCACTCTCTATCTCTATGCTTCTATTGATATTTTTTGATGATTTCATCATTTCTCTAGATCCTCCTCAGATTTCACCGGCTCCCGTGCTTGACACCAAAAACCTGGCCCCCTCTCCCCCCATTTCTTTCCCCTGCCAATGAGGCTCCCTCACGGGCCTCATCTACACCTACTATCCTAGCTTCTTCTCCTGAATACAAACTACCCACATTGAGAATAATAGTTAAGATGGAGCACTAATAGTATACATGTAGACTGCTCTTCACTTTGGGGAGATAAACTCTAGGAATTGTCTAGCTCTAACCTCAAGGAATGAAGAAACAAGGACCAATTTAGATTATTTAACATCCTAAATCATTCTAAGCAAAAGAGCTCAATTACCATTCTCTTAAATATGGAGAGCATGTCCACCTTTGTGGAAGATTCAATGCTTGCTGAAATAGTCGTGCTCATTAAGGCCAGAGCAAACACCATATGCTTTCCATCAGGTAGTGGTTCTCGCTGCTCGAGCATTTGATGCTGGGCTAGTTGCTATACAAGTCCTTCAAGTTTGAGAGCTGCATTGGATCAACAAGAGAATATTATCTTGGTGAGAACTTGAACTGTGTACAATCTAGTTAGAAATTCCTCGAAAAGGATGCTAATGGCTACAACGAGATAGATCAGCTTTGCTAATTAATTCCATTAATGATCCAATTATGAGATCATATATAAACGTAGTTTGAACTTCAAGAGCATGTGATATGTAAAGTGTAAACCAACCTCATCAAGATAGTATGGGCTCGCATTGCATTGGAAGTTGGAACGGTTAAACCCCATCAAATCTGGATTTTTGGCTTTAGAGAGGTCAGTTGGAACAGTTAAACCATTGGAAGTGGGAATTGGACGGTTTCCACTTCAATTTTGTTAGGCTTAAAAAATGGGTAACTTGAGTTCAGTCCACCTCAACATTCACAATGTGATTGTATAGTTCGGGTTAGTGTCAAGATGGGGAAAGATTCCCAATTCACCTAGGGATGTTGTATATGGAAGGTGGGGATAAATACATTTGGGAAATCAATTTATGAATTCTAACCTGGTTTCATTGTGTTATTGGTATTTTACCCCACACCCATAATAACATGTCATATGCAAGAAAGCACCTAAACAGCCAAAAGTTTTCTAAAAATAAGTGGGCATTTGCAAGTTATGTGGAATTGAGTAAGCCTTGTTTGGAGGGCTGAACCTAGTGGTGGCCACGAGTCGAGTTTCTCATGAGCTATTCGAGTTCGATTCGGTTTAAACCAAGCTTCAAGCTGAGCTCGAGCTCAGTGAAGCTCGGCTCGTGAGGTTCACGAGCCTAGTATAATAAATAAATATTTTTTATTATATACATGCATACATACATACATACATATACATATAAATATATAATAAATAATTTTTATTTTAAATAATAATATTTTATATATAAAATTTTTATTTTTTATGTATAATAGTAAATAATTTTTATAATTCTTAATTTTTTGTATATAAAATAATATATATACATATTTTTTTTTTTAAATGACCTGCAATCGAACACAAATTTACAAACTTTGAACCGAGCCAAGCTCGAACTCAAACTCGAGCCTAATACAGTTTCAATGAACCAAGCTAGAATAACAAAGTATTCGGCTCGGCTCGGCTCAAATCTACCCCTAGCTAAACTTTTGGTTGAGAGTGGAGAGGATAAGTTAATCAACTTATCTGATATCAATAATTGTGGGTTCCACAATTTTCCTATGGATATCATTTGATAAATTACCATGTTTACAAAAATAACAAAGCATGCCCTAAAAATGGTCAATTGTTTAACACATTCAGATAAATTTACTGATGAAAAGAACACAGATAAATGCATTTAGACAAATATGCCCTAAAAAGAGAGACAAGATATCCTAAAATGAAAAATTGTACGCACCCTGAGAACACGGCATCCAGCTGCACACATCAGGAATATCTCTCTATGAATTTAATATGCAAAATCAGATCTTCCCATTGTGTGGATGGATACCATGTTCTCACGGTGTTTACGCAGTCTTTCCTTTCAGGAGAACCAGGCTCACTAAAACTGCCTCGTGAGAATGGCTTTTTTTGGCTTTCATTTGTACTCTGCTTTCTCGTAATGGATCTTTTCTACGCTTTCAAATGTTTATATAAGAAAAAACTGATCGACAAACGCCAATAGGCTTTCCCTCCATTCTAAAAAAATTGCCAGAATATTGGTTCATTCCACGAACACCAACCATTTACCACAAAAGGCTAACATTGATTCACAGTTGACAAGAAACTACAGCTCTCACAATCCTTGAGAGAAAGCAACAACAAGAAGGCCGAAAGTTCCTAAGATGATATTTTACTTGAAGGTTGAGAGTCTTGGGAGCTTGTCCCTCAGATAGTACAGCCTTGCTCTCCTTACCTTCCTGTGGCTAACAACTTTTATCTCTTTGATGTTTGGCGAGTACCTGTAATTAAGACGGGTTAGTTTATAGTATATACGTATTCCTGATATCAAAACATTATAAAATTACTTGCAATGAACCACTTAACGTCTACTCTCAGCCAAGTACAGAAACAATCATAGTTACAATTCACATAACAACCACAGTTGCTGCTACGTTGTCAGTTTCAACCCAGTTCTCCTTTGAAGTGGGACTTGTTTCCAATTATGGAAACGTCTAAGGAATCTTGTGACCAAGAATTTCTCTTTATAGATGCCCAACTAAATATATCATGTCCGAAAAACAAATCAGTCTATCAGGTGGGGTATCTCCCAGGTAGGGCCAAAAGATGTTCAATTTCATGGTAAAACCATTGAAACTCAGAGAGTGCTCTAGAAAAAGCCAGGAGAGCATAATATGAAACTCAAGCAAAAAAGGGCAGCTTTTTCAAACTAGTTTTGAATAAATGAAAATCTTCTGTGAAGATCATCCTAGGCATTCAGAATCATTTTGCATGTCCTGAATGCAGCTTTTGTTTCTAAATTAAAGAAATTACTCAACAGTTTGTATAAAACTTTTAACTGAGTGTCATAAAATTGAAGTCATTTTGGCATCAATATTTCGAATGTTTAGCTCCTGTTCAAAGGGCAAGTTTTCCTTTTTCATGGACACAGGCAAAGAACAAAAAGAAACAAATCAAAATGCAGGGGATTTAGAAAACAAGATTTACTTGGTTATAAGTCAATTTAGGCCATGTTTGGTTAACTTCTGTGAGCCTCATTCTTCCAATTCTTACTCATTCTAGGCAAGAATGAATAACATGAGATCGTTTGATTACAAAATTCTGCCATGGGCCTCACTCTTTTTAGAATGAAAAATGAACCCACAGCACAAAAAAAGTAACTTGGAGCACAAAAATAATCATGCCCCATGTTGCTCATTTTCATTCTTCAGAGAAGCTCTGTGCCAATGCTGATGACATTGACTGCTGGCCATCCACCAGTAAAAATCTATACCAACAGTTTGGAGACCTAGGCTGACGGTTTATGACCGCTAGCATAGAGATTCTTTTGAAAATGAGCAACATGGTGCACGATCATGTGATGTTTTATTATATTTGTAACCGAACAGGTTCAAAATTTACCACTTATTAACAACTAAAAACAAAAGCAATCAAAACAAAGGCAAACGTTTCAAACTCTTCAATGAAAAAAAAAAAAAAACCATTACCCAATGTTGGTCCAGCCATCTAGGGTCTTGGGAGGGATGGATTGGTCTCATACTTGTCAGCCCAAGATTTACCATTATGCCAAGTAATGACTCCTATTCTAAACTCTAAAACACTAGAAAAGCCTAGGATTATTAAAATGTTAAGGCCCCAAACTTAAATCAAGATGGCTTATGTACACCTACACATTTTTGCAACAAAACTGTAGTGGAGTCCATTTTTTTGTTTTTCCTTTCATTTATCCCTTTGACTAATGTGTGGACTTCGGACATCAAGGAAATGAATAGCCTAAACCAGGTTGCTGTTTGAAATTAGAGAGAATGTTGACAATTTAAAGTACAAAACCCAAATCAACATAAATTTGACTGAAACAACCCAAAAACTGAAATTACTGCAATATATTTACCAGGGTAGTATTCAATTACACATGAAGAACTCATTGTTTTTCAAGTTTTTTGGCTTTACATTTTTTTCTAAGTTAGTTAAAGGAAACCAACACAATTATCTCAAAATGCAAAATAATGTTATGCATGAGTCTACTTATCTCATATATCCAATTTATTTTATATATTTGAAACTGTGTTTCAATATCCGTCATATTTCACTGTCTATTGATCAGGAAGTCTAGCTTTGTCAAGTTTGATTGTCCATATATAGAGCAATTGAAGAGACAAGAAAAATTAGCCCAATCGGTTTTAACTATTCACGTGAAAGACAATTCAATATTGATAAACAAATACTTACAGAGGGAAGACGATCTCAACTCCTATACCAGCAATAATTCTCCGAATTCGGATTGTAGTATGGATTCCAGCATTTTGTTTGGAAATCACAATACCTTTGTAGATGGACAACCTACGCCTGTTCTCCGGGACTTCCTATGGGTGGATTGCATACAAAAAATCATAAGCTTTTTTTTTCTATAAATGAAAAAATAATATCTAAATAGAAAACCAGGGACCCAGTTACCAATTTGATCACTACAACATCTCCAGTCCTGATATCCGGAGTGGGCCTTTCCTTCTCTGATGCCTCAATAGCTCTCTTATTCAAAATCTAACACTCCAAGAAAGGGAATTCAAGGATTCGATTAAATCCCAAATTCTACAAGGGATCAACGAAAACAAATAAATCGATTAAATGAAATAATCAACTCAAAGAAAAGTACCCCCATTATCTCTCCAAGCTTGATCCGGGGTTTCCTAGGCGGTTTTGCTTCAGCGTCCACCGCTGCAGCTTCGGCCTCTGTTTCTACCTCAGTTTCTGCGGCGGGGACTTCAGGATTGGCTGTCTCCTCCGGTTCAGAATTGTCAGTAGTTTCAATAACTTCTCCCTCAGAATTGGATTCAGCCTTTACAACGAATGGTAATTTGTTCCGTCGAGCGGCAATTGGATCTACTTTCAAGCCAAATCCACTGGAAGAAACCCTAGAAACCGTAATTCTGTTAGAGTTGAAGGAAGACCAACGAGAGGAAAAGACAGTAGAGACCCGTAGCTGCTTCTTTGAAGAACAAGGAGACACAGTCCTTGGGACTGAAACAAGAGCCTATAAACAGAAAAGCATATTAATCAACAAATCGATAAGCTATGAAGAAAATAAACAAAAAAGAAACTAAGAAAGTGAGGAGGAAAGAGTACCTGCGGGAGTACATTAGAACCCATGATTGAAGAAACAAGAGAACGAGCCAATGAGAGTGGGTTAATGAGATCTTAAGATGAGAGACTTTTTCGACTCATGAGAGAGAGAGAGAGAGAGAGAGAGGAGCTCGAGCAGAAACAAGAGGGAAGCCTTATCTGTTCAGACTTCAGAATTGTGTGGGAAATGAGAGAGGAAGCAGAGCGCCAACACTACCAGATTTATGAACCGGAGCATGGGTCAACCCATTAATCGACCGGTCAGTTCTTTTGGTCTCGTGTCCAGACTCCAGGTCCAGGCCATAGAATTAGAATAGAAGCTTATGCACATTAGGTCATTAGTTGGGNGGGGGGTGCTAATCCGTGTTTAAATCTGGTATTATAATATATTAGTCAGGACCTGTGCGATCTACGGTATAAATAAATAAAATTGAAGATGGAGCTACATTTCCAATTAAGTGGTGTATATCCAAGTTAATTCAAATATTAGTTTTTTGAGGTTATATCTAGTTTATCCGATCACATTTTAAGTTGTGCTTTAGTGAGAGCGGCTAATTTTCTATTCTCTATCTAAATTTGTATTATTTTTTGTATCTTAATGTTAATCTATTTTTTTGAAAAATAATTTTTTATTAAGTTTTATTAGTTTATTATTATTTTTGTATTATTTCTAGGTAAAATTATAAGAAAACATCATCTTAAAACAATTTTATAAACCACCTTTGTGTTTTTACCCTAACCAAGGTCAAAACACAAAGGAGTTTCATTGGATTGTTAGAAAACCAAATGAGGTTTTTATAATTTTCCTTATTTTTAAATGAAATTTAAATTGATTTTAAAATAATTAAACTATATTTAAAATTAATATTTTTATTAATTTTTAAAATTAGTAAATATTTGAATTTATTTAAATATATTAGGTTTTTATTAAATTTAAATTCCTTATGAAATTTATATAAATTTTTATTTTTAGTAGAACTTAAGTTGGTTTTAAATGAATAAAATTTAATTATAAAACTAATAATTTTGTATTAGTTTTATATTAATTTTAAATTGATATTAGTTTTTGATTTATCTTATTCCTTTTATTAATTAAAAGTTTTATTATATTAATAAAATATTTATATCAATAACAATAATTAATAATTATTTTTATTTTATTTAAATAACTTACTAAATTATTTTATTATGATTAATTAGTTTTATTATTTTCAAATGGAATATAAATGGATTATAATTTTTGAATGGAAGTAGATTATTTAGTGTAATAATATATTATTGAATATCTCAATTTCAATATAATTAATCTTTACTAATAATTACAATTTAATGCAAATATAACTAATATATATAATTATGAGTAAATTGAAATGAATGCATATAAATAAAGTTAATGTATTTTATGCAATTTAATGGAGTAATAGAGATGAGAGAGAATTAGTGGCATGAGTTATTGAAGGAGAGAGTTAATAGCAAAATTAATAAGGAGAGATTACTAAAAGAGTTAATGGAAAAGGAGGAGAGAGAGAGAGAGAGAGAGTTAATGACTTAATGGTGTATAAATAAGGAGTGTTAAAAGTTTTAAAGATGATTGATCACTTTTTATTTTGCTCAATTTTAAAATTAAAAAATTAAAGAAAAACTGAAAAAAGATATATGCCTTTGAAAAGAAACAAGAAGAAAAATTAAAGAAAAAAGATATGATGGCTTTGAAAATAAACTACAAAGCATAAAAGTTTCACCTTTGCACATTGCATTTAGTATGTAGATATAGATGTTTATATGAATGAACTTGTTTTGGAGTTGTCAAATTAATGAGGTTGAAAAGAAATAAATGAATATTTTTGGGAACAAGGAATTTGTGCGGTAATCCCACATTTACATTTCACTTAGGACTTCAATTGATTTTCTCAGTCCCTTCTGGTATGATTCTAGAAGCAAAATCCCAGTTGCATCGTTCAGGTCCACGTTATCTGGACTCTACAACAAAACCTGTTAAACCTTCTTCTAACATTTCAGACGTTGTATATGGATTTGCGAGGGAAAATGCAAATGAAAAAGGAAAAAAAAAAAAATAGAATAGAATGGAAGAGGGGAAAAAGCACACCACATGTTTATTGTTGGCAGTGGTTGCCTGAGATGGCCGGTGGTAGTGAATAACCTTCCCTTCTCTGTTTTGAATTGAAAAAAAAAAATCAAAAATAATATCAAACCCTAATCGTAATGGGTGTGAGAGAGATGGGGAATAAATACCTCTAAACGGTGAGATTGTCGAAACGATCATCAGCGCCGGAGAGTGTGGATTCCGAGCTCAGATTGGATGAAGGAGAGTGAATAGGGGTAAGGGTACACACGTCTCAATCAAGGGTGGGAATGGAGATTTTGGGCAAATTTTAGAACTAACAGAACGAGCTAAACTTTATCCCGTGTTAGGGGTGCAGTTTGTGTGGGAGGACAAATGGCTGCACACAATTATTTGGGGCACTGATGTAGTAAGAGTACATAAGCAATACAAAATTCCAACAGCTAGGGTTCTCCCAACCTTAGGTGCAAAGTCTGGGTTTTGAAGAAGTTACGACCATGGTCATTGGGTTGGATGAGTCTGCATCAATATTGTTAGCTGTCAATCAAAATTAAGTAGGTTCTACCTCTACCTCTGCTATCATGTTATGTGTCTTAGGAGAATTCATCTAGTTGTTAGAGGGTTATCATGTTATGTGCTTTAGGAGAATTCATCCCTAAAAACTAGTTATTAGAGGGAGGAAACCCAAACACATATATACCCTATAACAGCATCCCGTATTAACGATGTGGGATACCTTACATTAGCATCCCATATTACAAACATGGAACAAATGGATCGTAACATTAATGTCACGGACCCACTAATGGGCCCATGGGTCAAAGTTATTAGAGAAACTTGGGGAGTCATTGGGTGGATAAGGGTCGGTTATTGAGATTTTTGTGAAGAAATATTTACATTGGGTCAATTAAGAGTTACAAGTTGAGTTTAAGTAGTTGGGTCATGTTGGGAAATTATGTGGATAGTGGTTGAATCGAGTAGGATACATGGATTAATGTTGGGTCCAAGTTGTTAGGAATTAGTTTCAGARTCTATTTAAGTTGTATTTTTCTTCTCAATTAAGAAATTATGAGAATTATCTTTTACAATTGAGATTCTTATCTCTTAGAGGTCTTCGTCTCCCTCGAAGTAGACAGAATTCACGTTACATCCTATTTGGGACTGTAATAAATGGTATTAGAGCCAGCCATGGATCCCGGTTTTGAACACCGGCTTTTCCAACTACAAGGAAAGGTTCGATTGTTGGTGACGAAGCAAGACAAGTTTAGGGTGTTGGAGTCTCTCAGCTCGTCTTGATCAACTTGAATCTTTTTATTCACCATGTAGATCCAATGGAGATCAACCACAGCAAGAGTCATGTGATTGGTCTGTTACACGACACCCTGACAGGAACAACTCCATGAGCTTTTCTTGTAACTCTAATTTCTCTCATTGGCAGAGAAAAGTCTCAACCTTAGTTGTGATGGCTCTCAACAAAGACGGTCATGAAGAAGAAGAGGAGAAGATAGGGACAACAGAGGGTCTACCTAAAGCCTACACGGTTGTATACACCAAAGAGAACATTGAAGCCATCTCTGATGACGGGAAAGAGCGTCTCCAGTGGTCGAAAGCTCAAAAGGTTGGTAGAGAATGTGACAATTCAAGGGAAGAAACCCAAACTAGGAAGAGGGATGGAAAAGTCTACCTTAGAGAAATGGAAGCATCCTTCATCCATCCACAGACTCCTCCATTGGGATCTTTACTCAAAGCGGGCCTGAGATCTCTCTCCATTGTAACAACAATCAGTCATGACTCTGCTACTCTTCCCCGTCGATTAATCTAAAGCAGGCCATCTTCGAATCTACAGATTTCCCCCACTGTTCTACTTATTATTTGCAGAGGTTCAGATGCCATATCGTTTGCTGTGCAGAAAAAAAGAATTCTCGTTGCAAACCAATTGCCTATCCAGGAGCAACGTGACCCAAAAAAATTTGGTTAAGGACATGCTAGTTTTGCAGTTTAAAGATGGATTCTCGCCAGGTGTTGAGGTTGTTAACGTTAGGTGCTGGGTGGCTGAATGGGATTCATTGGAGCAGGTGTCACAATTCCTCACTAAGTATTAAGTGTATGCTAACGCTTTCAACAATTGGGATTGAAAATATGCCTTCTCATGGTTTCTATAAGCATCACGCGTGGTTGTTCTTTCATTACATGTTGCTTATTTTAGCTTAGCCATTATGTTATTGCAATGGCTTCTAGAGATAATCAGCAGATAATTTATACATCACCGTTGGGAGCTGTAAGCAATCAACAATATAAAGGATTGAGCCAAGAGTTTTTAGAAGCTAAGTGGATGACAGGTGGTGTCACCCTCTCGCTAAATGCAAATTGTTTGGTCATGACAATAGAGGTTCTCAGGAGAATGCTATACAGAGGGTCTGAGGTTTTGAAGGAATTTGGACTACAAATTATACAAACAGCATCAAGTTTGCAGCTCTTAATGGATAGAGTGGTAGTTGATGCTTTAAATGTCACACTCTACCTGTTCCCACAAGATTTGCGGAGATTGGATGGAAACTATTTGCGGCTAAGGGAAGGTGTGTTACTGCTGTAAATGACAAAAATAGAGATGTAAAAAGGAGTCTCATCGTGGCGTCATCTCTTGCAAATACTCAGGCCATGAATTGTATCAATAAGCATGGAAAAGATGATCTGGGATGCTACTAAGACTCCCATTGGTGTCGCCAGAAAGCAGAGACGAAGACTCATCTGCCCCAATTCTTACCATCACAATATATGTCAAAGCTGGCTGCGTTTGGCTTGTTGGAGGCTCTGGCCTTGACGACAAGGTCAATTTTAAGAGGGTGAGAATGTCACGGACACACTAATGGGGCCCATGGGTCAAAGTTATTAGAGAAACTTGGGGAGTCATTGGGTGGATAAGGATCAATTGTTGAGATTTTTATGGAGAAATATTTACATGTGTCAGTTAAGAGTTATAAGTTGAGTTTAAGTAGTTGGGTCATGTTGGGAAATTATGTGGATAATGGTTGTATTGAGTAGGATACATGGATTAATGTTGGAATCAAGATTTTAGGAATTTGTTTCAGAGTCTATTTAAGTTGTATTTTTCTTCACATTACACCCTATTTGGGATTATAACAAATGGTGGCGCCGGTATTGCAGTGGGACTAGGTGGATTAGTGCAAAGCCAGTCCGCGTGGGCGCTGGGACTGTAGAGCATGGTGGAATGTTACGATCTATTTGTCTCATATTAGTAGTATGGGATGTTAATGTGAGGTATTCCATATTGGTAGTATGGGATGCTATTGTGGAATATATATGTGTTTGTAGGGGTGAGTTCTCCAAAGGCACATAACAAATGGTATCAGAGCCTATATTATGCCTCCCAGTTGCAATCGTGTGACGTAGGTGGTGATGTCGGTATTGCAGTGTTCGACCGGGACTAGGTGGACTAATGCAAAGCCAGCCTACGTGGATGTCGAGACTATAGAGCATGGTGAAATATTATGATCCATTTGTCCCATATTGGTAGTATGGGATGCTGTTGTGGGGTATATATGTGCTTAGATTCCCTCCCTCTAACAACTAGTTTTTAGGGGTGTATTCTCCTAAGGCACATAACATATTACTTGTTAGTTTCAACAAACCCTATAGCTTGCGTTTGGGTCAGGACTGGGCCTAGCACGTCCCAAACATCACAGAAGCAAATAAAATTAAGAGACCAAGGCAAAACATCCAAACTTATAACACCTGCAATAAGAGTATTACGACCCAACCAATTCACTACCGAATTTGCTTTCAGAAAAAACATGACAAAAAGAGATACCTGAGTTTAAAGGAGATAGAACATGATGGCATTCCTCAATGATCTTATGCAATCTCCACGGTGGGTTCACACCCTTCTTCAAACAATTGATGATGATGAATTTCGAGTCTCCTTCAAGGATGACATGGTAATCTCTGGCAATGTTGAGTGCTTCCCATCGAACCCAAGCTTCGGCAGAGTAAATGGTAGCGATACCGATACAATGCAAGCGATGGAACAGTGACCTCCCAAGTTGCGCGAGACATCAAAATTGATCTTGATAGGGCAGGCCCAAATAATTGGGCCCCAAACTTCATCACTAGAATCAATCTCCTCTTTTAAAAGACTTACATTAATCTCCAAAAAATAGGAGTGGGCCTTATTAAGGAGAATAGGCAGTTGAGTAGTGCTATTATTAAATAATGTCATTTTTGGTTTTTCAAATAAACTAGCAAATTACAACGCATTTTCTTTGAATAGAGAATCAGATGGGCACTTCATCCCAACAATTCAAGTCCACCAATCATACATGGATGCGTCATTTATCGGCCCAGTAAGATCAGGCTTGCTTCGCATAATCACAATCTTTGAATATATGGATAATATCTTCCTCTTCTCCACAGTGGCAGCATGTACCATCTATCTTAAAACCTTTATTGATTAAATTTCTTTTCGTAGGTAACTTGCTGCCAAAGTTCAAAATTTCGTATATGCAAAACGTGTAGAAATTGTCTTCTTGTTTCTTTTTGTATGTATCGATCAAAACGGGCCCATAGATACAAGCCCGAAACAGTCCAATACACTTAATTCATTTAGAGAGTTTTTTTATCATTATTTTTCATTAATCTACATTTAATGCCCAATTCTCTCTAATCCTCTCTCATTAATTAATGATTCTTCCTCTCATTAATTACATTAGCCATTAATTTTAGCTCTTATAATTGTAAGCATAAATTCTAAAGTTTTAGTGATAACAATATTCGAACCTTCGTCATTAGGTTCTAATGAGTAATGACCATATATGTTCATCACTAAGCCACACTAATTTGTTTATTATGGTCATATAAATTTTTGTTTTAAGTAAATTTTTATTTTTTCTTAGTGGATGTTCCATGTTTATTGATAAATGCTAGGATTATTTATTAATTAAGTATTAAAAAAATATATCGGTTATTTGAAAATTAATGTATAAATTTTCCGTTATTTTTCAATGGTTATTAATTGTGTCACGTTTTACATAAACTATTAAATTATGTTTGTTTACATTTAAATAACTTATTTATAATCATATAAAATCTATAATTATTGTTATTAATATGCTTTTTAAGATCTATTAGAATTTTCTAGCATATTGATACGTATCTTGATTTTTCATCCATATCCATGCATATCTAAAGCGTATCCCGATACGCCTCTTAAAATTGACTTTCCAATACACCTTCTGTTTCCAATCCTTTAAACCTTGCTTGCTACTAAGAAGCAAGAACATGAAAACCTTTATCTTAAGGGGATTCTTAGATTCCAAATACTATTAAGAACGTCCCAACCCAAATTCAGCCCATTGACAACACGGCTCCAAATCTGCTTTTCACACGGTCACACCAACCTCAGTCTCACAGCACGTCTCAGCCGTATATTAGAAACATCTCTTTTATTTGTCACATGAGAAAATTTTCTATTATATTAATAATCCTTTAGTTCTCGAAAAACTATTGTTGACCAGGGTTGGATTACTACGATTTCAGTATTGCACCCAAGATTTTCAGGTTCAGGATGGGCAAAAACATATTAGGAAAACTCACAAAAACCTCATAGATTCAACAAATAACATGAAATCTAAGGCTCAAATGACTAAATTAGGAGGTTTTAAAAACCCACCTAAAAACTGTTGAACAGCCGATCAGCTAGGTCAATCGTGGTTCTAAAACACTGGTGTAAACACACAAGAGAAATTAAAAATTCAAAGAATACATGCATATCTCAAACCAACGCTGATCTGGGATGAAAAAGGGGGGATACCATTGAAGGGGCCAAAGCCAAGTTTCCAAGAGTCATAAGAACTACCAATTAATGTCTTCCATTCTTTCGACTTCCATTGACATGTATAGGTAATTTACCATGCATCAACAAAGAGCAATATAAAGCACGTTAATTGGATATCAGGATATAATGCCGATCAATGCTATTTATAAACTAGATAAAAGTTTGTACAAGACACCCACAGCCAGAAACCTGAATCCATTCCATCCATTTACTACCCAAGAAGTCCAAATCAAACCTCGTAGACACTTGCAGCCAGAAAACAGATCCAAAAAGCATAACAATGCCGGCATCGCTTTGAAAACAAATTGCAATTCTTCCCACTGGCCTCGTAATGAAAAGGTGGTGATCCTCGACTAGATAGGCTTTATCTTAAAATGGAGTGAGATAAGAGAGAAGACAAAACACTTGAGATCCTGCAACAACAGAAAGACGCACTATCATGAGAGCATGTTATATAGAATTGTCAACCACCACTTGTATAATACACTGTCCCTCGATAGGGAAATTACCTGACTTGCATACATGTCAAACAAAATTAGTCGCTGTTTTATATATCCTGATATTAGTTTTGTCTGGCATTGATGTAGAACACTACTCGTATGCATGCTATAAAACTTCAACAATTTACTTTACCAACATTTTGTATTGAATCTAAACATGACCATACATAATGGATGCCTTCGTACAATCATGGCCAAGTTGTACATGTACACAAAGAACGCCCTTGTGATTCATTGACCGTAGTTGATATTATACCCAGGGATGCTACAGGCTTTAGATACACAACATTCTAAAAGCTTCTAATTTTCGTGGACTGATTTCTATCCCAGTGAAAAGACAAATGATATCGCTATTTATACTTTCTATATACTAATAAAAGTTAGTACACTTAAGTCTTAAAATACATTTATATTTTGACAAATAATTAAGGATTTGCCCTCTTTATATCTATTACCTTTAGGAAAAAGGGAGGGGCCATTGCTTCGTGTAATGGCCTCCCCCCATGCTCATAGTTTTAAAAAAGAGAAATCATTTGTAAATAACTGATAACAGATGGTGGGCCCATTTCCTGCAGTAATTCAGCATAAAAATTACAATTTACAACAAAACTTTTGCTACTACTTGAACTGGATGTACAAATGGTTCTTGTAACCACAATGAATAAAAAGATGAAAGAGACTCCTACCGAGTACTTGCCAATTTCAGAGAAATCCAACTGATAATCTACTGACTGGTATTTTTTTGTAATAAAAATAAAATAAAATTTATTAGAAAAACAAAAAGAACGTACAAGAAAGGTGACCAGCAATCACCCGAGAGAAGAAAAAAACAAGCTGCATCCAGATTTTACCGAGCTTAAACCCAAGCCGAAACAAAAATTCACAACCAAGCAAAACCCACACATGACAAATTCCCATGCCCAAGAAAACCAAATACAAAAGACACCAAAATCCTAACCAACTTTCAAAATTTCAGCTTAGGAAAAAAAAAAAAGAAAAACAATCCCAGCTCTGTCTCAGCAAAAAAAAAAAGAAAAAACTACCAATATCCTTTCTCAAACATGTTGGCACCCTCTAAACCCACTTTACAAACTAAAACACCCTGCCTCCCTTAATCAGCCTTTCCTTTGTCTCGGTTCAAAATTTCATTACTTTTCTTGGAGCTTCTCTTTGACTTCTTGACTTTCCTGCTAGATCCAATCCCAAATAGCCTCCTTTTAGCCTTGCGAAAACTTTTGAAACCTTAACAGCTTGATTGTTTTCCAAGAATTGGATGGGTTAAGAGAGATGCAAATTCTATAACTGATGGCTTGATGCATTAGCTAAACAAGAGGTGGTGAGAGATTTTTTGTTCTGGGCACAATTGTAAATGTTTTTGGGGTGGGTTGGGGAGAGATAAGAGATTTTATCTCTCACAATCTTTGCTCTCTACCTCTTTGTATTTTACTTTCTACCTCTTGCATATTCTAATGAAATCTTCGAGTTATTGATCAAAAAAAAAACAAACAGTTTGATTGTTTTCCAGGCTTCTAAACCTTCTTACAGAATTGGGAATTCTGTTAGCTTCGTTCAACTCCTTGGAGCATTCGTTAGTTCTTTCCAGCTCCAGCACTGCATTCTTATCCAGAACCAAACCAGCCTCCGCCTCACCCCCTTCCTTGTCCAATACCTTTCTCTCTTCCTCTGGCCTGATATCTAAGCCATCTTCAGTCTCTAAATATAGATCAAATGATGGAATTCCAGAATTGCTTGCTATAGGAAACTTCTATAATTCTTTAAAAGTTTTCTTTGCATACTCTTCACCTCCCATAAATCTCAGCCCCAGTACCTTGCTAAACTTTACCTCCACAGCCACCACCTTTTTCCAAGTCCACAGTTTTGTTAATCTGGTGTATTTCATTAATAACCACACCCTCTTCTTTATCTTTATCCTCTAGAGGCTTCGTTTTATAATTCCTCTTTCTTTTAAGTCTTACTCTGCGAAACTTTTTAGTTCCTTTAATCCCCTTATTAACCAACATTTCATCTTCTTTCAAACCCAATGACGTCTCTGCTTCAGTATTATCTTCCTTGTTACCTTCGGATTTTTCAGATATTTTCTGCCTTTCTTGTGAAAGAAAAAAAAAAGTTTCATTTTCCTTGTCAGCCAAGTTGCTCTCTACTCTAACCTGAGTCGCAATGTCTGTGGAATCTTCTATATCTTTATTAACTGGTATAACCTGTCTTTGGGTGGGGTAGCCTGGATACAGACCTAACCTTTTGTATTTTTTGCACATAGTGGCTGCTTTAGACTACAACCCATGTTCTCATGCTTGTCAAACTCTAATTTTAACAAAATGGTGGTTATAAATTTAAAAAGAAAAAAAAAATCTATTGACTGGTATACAAAGGGTACCATGGAAAAAAAAACTAACTAGCAATTGAGCAATTTTTAGGTAACTCAGTTGAAGGTGAACAAAACCCTAAACCAAACTTTGATGAGTTCACAGACATGCAAACCCAATTGGAACTCTTGAAAATGGAAGGGACAGATGGTAATATTGATGATCACTACATGGGTTCAATACACCCGATACGGGGTGTATCGTATCGAAACTTTGAACCTTGGTTTTGTTAAAATGTTAGAGTGATGTTCGGCTGATAAGAGTTCTTATTAGCCCAGTCTTATGTTTAACTTATCTTGTAACTGGGCCTGTGTTAATATGCCTAATCCTGTTTAGTGATTTAAGTCATCTGGGTGTCCCATCACTAATCAGGGGCATCCCAGTAATTTCTTGTACCTTGTACTATATTCATCTATAAATAAAAGACTGGTCGACTGCCTAGTACAGTTCGACATTCTCTTCAGTTCTGTGGTTCTCTTCTCCTCCTTGCTACTTCGAGTATAGCTCTTCATATTACAGGTTTTATGTGATAGGCGAAAAACATTTAGATTGAAAGGAAAATTTTATAAAACAATTGTAAAGCCAGCTATGTTGCATTAAGCAAAGCGTTGGGCAGTCAAGATCATAAAAGCATTCATATGAGAAGTTGCTTTCAAGATCATTAACATGTGTGACACTTCTCAAACAATGAGGAAATCATGGTGCCTCTTTCCATGTGTGTGCTCTTTGCCTTGGTTGTGGGGAAAGTGTTGACCACCAACTTCTTTTTTTTGATAATTCAAAATTAATTCATTAATCAAAGAGAGATCTGTTACACATAAACCCAAAGAGAGGCTCGAGATGCAGCCTCGCTCTAAAGAAAATATCAGAACTACATGAAGTGTTGACTACCAACTAATTACAAGTATTCTGTTATTTATCAACAGAAAAAGTGTTGACCATCTCTTTCTTTCTTGCTCCTCATCGAAGGTACAGAATGATTTCTTTATCCTCTTTGAATCAAATTGTCATGTCCTTTTTTTTGAAAAGGTAAAGTAAAATTTGAATTAATCAAAAGGATAAAAACAAACATATCTGCTCACTGTACAAGTTTCTGTACAACTGAACACAACTTTAAGAAACCTCAAAAAAGTTCACAGAACTCAAATATGCCCCCAAACTCAAAAAGGGAGGAATTTCTTTGGTCATGAACTAGAGCATTAGTGCTTTGGATCCTTTGGTGTGAAAAGAATGCTACTAGTTGACAACAAAACTAAAGATGAAGACACCATAATGGAGAACGTCATGGTGAAGACAGCTCATTGGGTGTTGACAAGCAAAGAGTTCAAAGGATTGACTGTTGATTATATATTTAAGGGGATGGGCCATGGTGGTAAGCTTCACTCACTCATAGAAAGAATTCTATTAATACCACTTGGTTAGCATCACTGAGGAGGAAATCAAAACTTAACCTTGATGGATGCAGCCTTGGCAACCTGAGACCCTCGTGCATAGGGGGTGTTTGTAAGAGACCATCATGGAAATATCATTATGAGCTTCACAGGGCCAATTGGAGAAGGAAACTCAATAAAAGCTGAAATTACTGCACTTACTCAAGGCCTGAAAATAGTCCACTCATTAGGATGGTCAAATCTGATGGTTGAAGGGGACTGCAAGGTCACCCTTTGCTGGATGGAGAACAAAAAGGAGGGCCCTTGGTTAATTTGACAGGTGATTAAGAGAATCACTTTCATTAGCATCCAATCTGAACTGCTCGTTCAGATGGATACATCATTCCGCTAATTCATTAGCAGATACCCTTGCACTGACCGGGGTAACCAGGGAGCAGCTCTTATGGGGGACACAAGGGCCAGGTATAGATGTAAATCCATCTATAACGCAACAGAAACTTTTGGATCTCTTTTCAGCCTAGTACTGCTTGTATCATTTTCTCTATATCTGTGTTTATAAAGCTTCCAAACCCAGCTATACCAAATCACCTAGTGAAACGGAGAGCTAAAAGGAATCAGTTTCTTTGGGGCGTAATCCCCCAAGCTGGGGGCTTGTAAAAAGTGTAGAGGGGAGGGGGGGGGGCTAGCTGACACTTGAGGTGCTTTGAGGTGCTTGGCATACTACTAGTGTATCATCTTTTCCACTTAATAAAATCTGGAGTTTCAATAAAAAGTAACTAGTTCTATGAAAACCTTTGATATGTAAAGGCATAAGTAAAACTCCACCTATTTCATAGTCTAAAAGACCTAGTAACGTTGAAATCATTGCTAAAATGGAAAAGGGACTCCTGAAGGCCGATCGAAGGTTCCTTCAATTCTCCAACCCTTGACTTTACTATTACTTATTATAACATGCCCTTCTCTTCCCCTCAACTTCAAAAACAAAGCAATTCATCATTCAAGAAACTCACGAATTTTATGATTTCTGAATACCATAATGACACATAATGCACTGGAAAAACATTTTAATCTGTGAATTTTTCCCTCATTTTGAAACTACACTCGACCAGCCTCTCTAGCATTTTCCATTTCTACAATAATCAAGAATACAAACATCTTGGGCATAAAATGTGTGAAACCATATCCAGATTGGAGCCAGTAAAAAGAACACTTCAGGATGCAATTCCTCAAGCAAAGAAGAATCCCAGCTTCAGTTTTATCTATTTATTTATTTATTTTTGATAACTGCCCAGCTTTAGTTTTTCAAACTCTCATAAGTTGATGGCAACTGACTTTCTATAAATATATTGATAAAAAAAAACTGACTTTCTATAAATAGTGAACTTGAATCCGACAAGAACTACTATGAACTCAAAGATGTTTATTGGATCCTGAGTGGCTCACCTATCCCCATAGGCTTACTAAATGGGGAAACCAAGTTCACACTTTTGTTATTGTAACCCAAGTCAACAAGACCAAATCTCCTTTATCACCTGATTCACCTCTCTGATTTATGATATTTAGAGGGAACATGCTACTCACCCGTTACCATGAAAAAGAGGAAAAGTGAAGCATTGAAAATGAGGTTAGGTTCAAATATAAAATCCACAAACTTTCATTTGCTAGATTCTTGACTAAAAAAAGGACCCCAATCCATTTCTTGCGAGCTATAGAGGTAGCTGACAAAAATGTTCCCGTTCCACCCTTTTTCCACACTAATCAGTTCCCTTTGATTAAATGACAAGATATCATAGTCAATGTAATTATAATTTCATTAATTCAAGTGCATTATGCATAGGCTTTTAAACATCATACAGTTCATAAACAAAGCTCCTTTGAATCGTTTTGTTTTCTTTCTCCCTTCTCCCTTTTAGCCTTTTATTTTGATAGCAAATTTCCATTAGGGAAAAAAAGAGGTCTATAGTCATTAATGTAACATATACATCTCAAAGGCCATCACTCTAAAGGTTAACTAAGCGAGGGTAGCACAGTGACAAAGAGAGACCCAAAGAAACCAACTCAACCCTTTCATCTAA